CATTTTGCCAAGCACTCGGCTCGCATAGACCGACACGGCTACTTGTTGAAACGCGGGGCCTGGAACACGGCCTTTAAGCGCCGCTGGTTTGTCCTCAAGGGTAACCTCCTCTTTTACTACGTCACCGATTCGGATGAGGAGCCTCAAGGCGTGATCGTCCTGGCCGGTTGTGTCCCAGAGCTGGGGGACGATGATCCGGTCTCGGGACTGTACACCTTTCGCCTCGTTTTTGATGCAGGCCAGGGACACCGCGTCTACGAACTTGCCGCCGATGATGGTGCGAGACATCCCCAGGGCCCGTTCAATGTGACGATGCGTTGTTCTTGCTCTTGTTCTTGTTGTTGCTTTCTTTGGCGCTCTAGCAAAGTACACATAATACGTCAAGAGCCCTCATCTGCGCTTGCTTTTCGCCTCACGCTCTACGTAGATACGACCCGCACCGACTGGATCAATGCGATTGGCAAGGCCGACTACGACGTTCTTCTTCGCACAGTTGAAACCTACGAAGATCAGCTGCAGAGAATACAAAAGGGCGAACCTGGTATCCTGGCAGATGCAGGAAATGTGCCAACTGCGACGGCAAGATCAGCTATATTTGCTCTCCAGCGCTTCGGTCCTGGTCGACTCTCCCCCCACGACCGGCCGACCAAACCTTTGACGCATTTCCACGGCGTTGCGGGTACCGCGTCTCCCGATCTCAGCCGTCGTGTAGCTGCCTCATTGGAACATCTGGATTTGAAAGACCAGCCTGTTGCCCCACCTCGGGCCTCATCCAACCCGGCGCCGGCCCTCGGAGCCCGCGTCTCAGCCACGCAGAATCTTACCGGGCGCCGCTTTAAATCAGTCAAACCCAAGCGCTCCTCATCTGGTGGCTCCGATCATAGCCTTCCCTCCCGAAGCGGCGTGTCTCATTTGAGTGGCGTCACCGAAGAAGATGGTGACACCGTCGTGTCTCTGGCAGTACCGACTGTGCGGCAGCGCTCGCTTTCCAGCAGTGAACCACGCGCCCCACCACCCCGATTAAATGACCCGCATTCTGAAGCTTAGCTCGCACCACTGCTTAACACCGCCGTCTCTGATACAGGGTTCATCCTCTTAGTTCAGTTTAATGATGCAGCTTATCTTGTTGCCGTGTGCCTTGTACATCAACTGCGGCTCCTGCATCTTTTTTGCTTCCCTCTCTGGTAATTGTGTTCTTGTGTCTTCTTTGCTGCCCGTCTTCTTCAATCCCCTCCTCGACTTTCTCCTTGTCTTTGTCGTACTTGCCATGGGTCTGCGACCCGCCCTCAGCGTCTGGAGATAGTGGCCGACTTTCATGTGCCACCGCATATTCTGGGACCGGTGTTTTTTTTTTTTTTTTTCTTCTTCTTCTTCTTTTGATTTGTTTCTTTCCTGGCTCTCTGAGTCGGCGTGTGTTCAAGAATGCGCCAAGAATCAAATGCAAAGTGTGCGCGCGCCATTCACTCCCTCTCACACGGGTGCACTCGATGTATCCTCAATCCAAACACGCTCATGTATGGGACCACACACGTGTTCATGACAGAGCGTCCATCCACTCAATTTGGAGGAAACGATAAATCAAAAGAGGAATATCGGGCTACATCAATCGGGTTTCGCCTCGGCTCGAGGAGCCAATCATTTAAGCGGTAAAGGTGGCAATTAGGTGCTCGGCGGCCACGCCGGGCGTCATGGTGCGCTCGCGCATCTAGAGCCATTGAAGCATTGCCATTCAAAGAAACGGCCATTTAGTGCCAATACAAAACCCATGTCCAGAGGGTTGAGCAGCGGGTGAAAGAGCACCCAAAACACACACCTGGCGGGTAATTTCAGGCAAAAGCGCTTTGACGCCATCATGTTGATGGAAGCGCTGCATGAGATCATCTTGGACGTGCCGCCACATCCAGCGCTATATCAGGCCGGGGATAATAAGCCCACAACGCACAGGTGCAGCATTTAACATTCAGAACAAAAGTTTCTTTCAGACAACAAGGCAATCAACCCAGCGCGCCGAGCTGCACGACCTCATATTGGTTTGAACGTCGTTCCATTAGCTCCCCACTGGCCATCATAGCGTCATAAAAGCTAAGCATGGTACACCCAAGTTTTCGTGAGCTCGAGTCGGGTCCTGAGTCACCTTAAAGTCGAGAAAGAAGATTACCTGTCAATAACATCCTTCACCTCCGAAATGCCGCGGTGCTCCAGGGCGGAGGTCGCTACAACCTGTGGTGAAGCGATCGCAAGGACATGAGAAGCACGACCTAAGCAGCCGTTTCTGCCTTGTGCGTCCATTTGGCAAGTACCTCAGGATCCCAGTTGCGAGACTTGCGACGCATCAGATGCAATGCATTCTGGTGCTCAACCCGTGCCCGGTGGGCCGCTTGAGTTAAATCACCATCCGCCTAAATGCACAAACAAGTTAAATCAAAGGTAGTTTAAAAGCAAAAACAAGCACACGCGAGCTGCACATTGCTGGCATCACCAGGCAGCACCTTGTTGATGATGATGAGGTCAGACACCTCCATGATGCCACGTTTGATGCCCTGCCGATTTGATAGCATGTGCAAAACACCGTTCTGGTCAAAGGCAGCCTAGAGGAGGGAGGATTGGGTACACCAGGCACCACTGAAACCGACCTGAAGCTCGTCTCCACCAGCTGGTGGAAGAAGAAGGATGAACATATCCACCATGTCCGCCACGGCCACCTCGCTTTGACCGACACCGACCGTTTCGACCAGGACCACATCCGCTCCAAAGGCCTCGCAGAGCACAATGGCATCGGTCGTGTTGCGTGCAACTCCGCCTGATCATACACGTACGCAATTGAATCATGCGGAAAGAACAGCGGTACCACAGCAGGTAGGCCAGCGAGCTTGGGAGAGACAAACCCAGGGAACCGGAGCTGGGAGAAGGTCGCACATAGGCGTCTGGATGAGCAGACAGCACAGGCATGCGTGTCTTGTCCCCGAGGATGGAGCCACCCGTAATCGTGCTGCTGGGATCAACCGTCTACCAAACCATATGTACAGGGCGTGCTGAGCATCAACAAGCCAGGTCAGGCCAAGGACGGCAACAGTGACGCGATTCCCGTACCAGCACCCCCAGACGCAACCCAGAGCCCAGCAGATGCTGGCCAAAAGCTTCGATGAAAGTGGACTTGCCCACGCCCGGGCTCCCGCTGATACCTAAATGAGACAGATGACATCCAGCAAATAGGACGGATGCACTCAGTGTGACCAACGCAGAACTGGGTCGGAGCAGACTTTGGCAACGCTTCCGTTCAACGTGGGCGGCAAATACCGAGGCGCATGGTGGGTCGGGCGCGCTGGCCTTCCTTGGCGCGCACATGACGCTGCAAGCTAGTGAGGAGAAGCTGTGCCTGTGCGCGGCGGGCTGGATGCGTGCTCTCCACCAAGGTGACGGCTTGAGCCAGCGCACTGCGCTGATGGTTCAGCACACCATCACGCAAGCGTCGCGTTCGAGCCGTCATGGCACTCTCATCGTCTGCTTGATCCAGATTCACAGAAGAGGCCACCGCCCGCGCGCCTGCAAGCCGAGGCGCGCCCAGCCCCATCGACCCCCGAGCCGCAGTCACCGCCCGCCAGCCCCAGGCCCGAGCTGCAACCAATGCCGCTGCCATGATCTATACCCCGTAGACCCACTGGCCGCACCGTGCCTGCCCCTCTAGCAATCAGATGCCAAAAGGCCTCCGTATTAAACGCAGTAAATTGGTTCACAAACTCAAGCTACGGTGTTATTGAAAACTGCAATAAATACGATAACCGCTACAAAAGTCACAAAAGTATTTTAGTTGTTTCCTTTCTTTCTCTCTCATTTTTTTCTTTTTTCGTTTTTTTTTTCTTTTTTCGTTTTTTTTTCTTTTTTCGTTTTTTTTTTTTTTTTTTTTTTTTTGGAGCGTTGTCGTTGCCTTTTGCTCGACAAGTACCGGTGCAGGCTGGTGGTACCAGCGGCAGGGCCCGTTCATAGGGGATACACACAAGTGGGCTGTTGAGACGTTGAGCAGGTATGTCGTAGTGTGGAGCGAACCGACGTTCCTGGATCACTTTATTAACCACATGCTTATGTTTTGTTGTTTTTTGGTGTTGGCTGGGAGCATAGACCACCCTCGAGCATGGCAGACCTATCACTCTCAGGGTTGCAGATTACGCCAGACACTAGCTTAGGTGACAGTAGACCGTCCATCTACGACAAAGATGCCACCTGCTTGGTCCCGCCCACGCGAGAGCTGACGGGGCCGCGCAAGGAGCTTTACAACATGGCCATTTCTCAGACCTGCAAGCTGGTTTTGAAGGACGGTCGGATAGTTCTTGGGACGCTCGAGTGTGTTGATAGCCGTGCCAACATTGTATTGACTGGGGCAGCCGAGTACCGCCTGCGAGCCTCTCCCCTTGCCATGCACTCACGCGAGCGCGCTGTGGAACACGGCGGTGCTCTTTACTACATGACCCGCCATCTTGGTATCGTCTCAGCGACGCCAGACCTCTTAGAGGCTCTAGCCGTGGTGGCCGACCCCGCCATCGCATGAGGAGCTTCAGTGCATGCTGGCAGTGCAAGTGATTGTGGATCAAGGATACCACTTGCACATCGATCAAGAGTGGTTGTGGACGACATAAATTGATGATGATAAGAAAATTTTCATGTTCTTTTGATGGCGGCTCAGCGCCAAGCGCTAGCAGATGCTGCGACTGTCTGGGGAAGGGGACGGACTGGCAAACTCAAAAACCAGGATCTGGCAAGTCAATTAACCAACGGGGCAGGGAATGGTCAACCGCTCATCGGGGATGACTGTGTGGCACAGCTGTCTTGTTTGTCTTGTTATGCCACCACAAACTGCTGATACAGCAGCTCCCGAACTTTGTAATACGTCTCGCAAAGCGGGCCGTCGATACTAAACGATCCGCCGAGCGGATCTTTTCCTACCACCACCTGATTGTTGCACACTAGCTTTTCGACCCACCAAGACACCTGCGCGTGAAGCGCCAAGAAGCAGCAAAAGCAATGTGCGTTGAGTGAGGGATGACCCAGGGTTGAGCGGTGGCAGAGGCTGCGTCCACCAGAACAAACGCGCACCTCCACTTGGTGGTTCTCCAAGACGGTCTTGAGTTGACTCAGACGAATATCTCCAACGAATACGGCATTGTGCTCCGCCGCTTCGGTGGCTGCCTCCAGTTGTGGGAGCTTGGCGCGCTCTAGATACCCACGCGCATCACGAAATGATGGTGAACGTGTGAGTGGATTACCCAGGACCAGGACCGAATATGATTCACTGAACATGCAAAAAGCGGTCCAGCCCACACGTACTGCTACTCGTTTCGTCGCCTTCAGTGTGTGCCAGGACGCCATCGATCCATGCAATCTTATATTCGCCGGCCTCGCTGTATAGGGAGCAAAGTCCGTGAACAACCCGCGTACCCACCTGCATTCGCCTGGCACGCATAAATACGGACGCGTGCCCCTCCACCTACCTGAACTTGAGCGAAGAGACGAGTGCATCGCGAAGGCGCAGCTATACCAGCAAAAAGGATATGATTTACCATGCGACGAACGATGAGCGAGGAATTGATTGAGTCGCATACACATATGGTCTGCGACATCGATAAGAGAAGCCAAGACATTGCGCCAATTGTACCTGGAAGATGTTGCGCTCGCCAGCAATATCCACCCGCTCGAAGCGCTTGGGCATGACGATCCGCTCCAAATCGCGCAGCTTGTGAACACAGCTATCAGCCAGCTCCTGAGCACACAGCACGCACGCCCATGTGAGACACAAGCCACGGGGCACTATGCTTGCAAAGAAACGCAGTATCTTTGAATCCAAAGCAAATGCCTCCCCTCTTGTGACTGACCTCTGTTTCATCCTCGGTGCCGTGCAGCAGAACGAGAAAGCGAGGACGCATCCGCTCGAGAATGTTGAGCATGGACTCGCGGTCCGAGAGACCCTCAAGATCCAAGTACTCGACCTGACAGCGCACACTCAGGTCTCGCTGCTGAGCCACGACCTTTGATGGGCGCTCAGCTTCTTGAATAGACTGGGAGACATGACAATGGCACAAGATAGATGAGCGCGGTGCATTGACGCTTGCTTGATGCACCAACATAGACACCTACCGCAGTAAGCTCAGCTTGCATGGCCTCAAGGTTGCTATCCTCTGCTGGCTTGTCTGCTTCATCTGCAGCTGGGGCTTCGAGGCCCGTGGCCAGGTGTGAGTCGAGCAACTTGAGCTTCTCTCGATCAAAGGTCATGCCGTAGTCGTCCCATTCAACCTTTTGTGCGCCCATGAACGAGTCGTAAGTGGAGGCACGGCTGGGTCAAAGGCGGGTATCGTGATTCAGGCGAGCTCTGTCAATCTGCGGCCACACAACCTTGTTGCTCTGAAACGGAAAGGTAGTCAAGGCCTGGCGGCGCGATCGGAAGGTACGATCCTTCGCCCGAGTCTAACAGATCACGAAAAAAAAAAAAATAAGTCAATAAATAAAAAATAAAAAATGAAATGAAAAATTAAGTTTGCTGAGGGTGGCTCTCCACGAGCTAGGCGGCCGTCTATGCCTCGGCGATGATGGTCGCGCAGGCTGACCTGTTGCGGAGTGTGATGAACGGCATCTATTGAGGGTTGAGTGCCGGGGAGACGCATGGGCAAGTCTGCGACGTGATCGTCCTCGTCCTCGTCATCCTCTGAATCTGAGCCCACAAAGGTGCCCTCGGCCCGGGCCTGAGCCAGAGCATCCTCTTTCTGTTGCTTGGCTTCCTCGGCTTTGTGTTGTCGATATGCCTTGAGTTCTTCGCCCTCAAGTTGCACTCGAAACCGGTGCTCAAACTGTAAGGTGATGGTATAAACCAATGAGCGTCGGTTGGAGTCTGGGAGGCTAAGCGGCTAGGTGTGGTCGAGGTTCCACGGTCGCTGTACCACCACCAACCTGGATGGTGTGTATTTGTCCGCTCTTTGCCAGTAGGCGGGCCCCAAGGGAGTGGGGTGGAGGCCGGGCTATGATGGCAGTGCCGGGTGAGCCAGTGGAAGATATCAACGAGCAAGCTGCGTGAGCCAACTCCATACCGATGAAAAGAAAGCGATTGCGGGCTTCGCCTGCAAGGCGAAAGAGAAGTTCACGCCCAAAGCCAGCCTCGAGGCTACTGTGAGGAACAATTACGACCTAGGCAGAGCATACGGAGTGTGTGGGATGAGTATCGCGCGCGTGGCGCTGGTTGCTTCTGAATTCAAGGGCGCAGGGAAAGACAGTTGGCACGTATTTAGGACACCGCGTGCGGTGAGGCGGCAATGACTGTAGGAGCCGGTAATACCTTGGCGCCTGCGGAGCGCATGACTCCATCGACCGTCTTTTGGCATTTGATGTTGGGGCAGGCAAAGGGGTTGTGGGTCATGGTCTGGAGCTTGACCAGCATTTTATCGGACATGAACTCGATCAGGGTTTGCGCAAACTCTAGCACGTTATACGAGTTGTGACTGAGAAAGAAGACGGGATAGGTCTTGAGACCCGGATTGTCGTTCCAATGTGATTCAAAGAGCTGCACCAGTTCCAGCGTTCTAGCATGCGGCAGGAGGAAAGACCGGATCAGGACCAACGGCATTGCGTTGCGTTGGGAACTCTGGAGCTTGAATGTGCGCGCAAGACGAACCGTCCAGCTGTGTCGGCCACCACCACCATGGTACCATCGGAGCGCATGGTTTGCTCTGCTAATGATAGAAGCTTGGCCTCGCGCTCCTTGGGCTTGAGCACCATTTCCGTAGAGGCGTTGCGGGCACCGGTGATGAGGAGGGAGGGGCGTGTCAAGAGCTGAAAGACGGCGGGGCGCAAGTGTCGTTCGGAGCGATGGTTGTAGTTGAGGGCATACACAACGTCTTCGTCATCCTTGGTGATGCGCCACACAGTACCGCCCAACATGTGACCAGCTTGCAGGGCAAGCAGGGTGATGCCGGTGCCTGACAAGTTCAATTCATGGACCATGTGAGATGAGCAGTGAGGACCACAGCACTGTGTCACGTGGCGAGATGAAGAAAAGCAAGCGGTTGGCGTGTGCCGAGATCTCTACGCACCGGCAACCTCGATGGCCTGTGAATATTTGACTGAGGTGATGTTGGCAAAGGATTCGTCAATGCCATCGAGAGAAAACGTTTCAAAGTCTTCTTGCTCCATTCGCGCCTGGAACACGGGCAGATACCGAGAGGTTGAGCGCAGGGGGCATGGAGCAGTCGCGGTTGGCGCACGACCCATGGCTAAATGCCAGCATCTCGGCCCCACTCGACAGCGTTCATTTGTCCAGAGGGTGGCTCAGCCTTTGTCGCCTACCTGGAAGGCGTCGTAGAGGAAAAGCAGACCGAGCTGCTTGATGGGCAGCGTGGCATAGCAGGGACATGTCAACCCAAGTTTTTCGTAGGCGTACGGCAAAGCACCCAAGTGATGGATGTCCGGTTGGCTGAGGAGTACAAGATCAATCGTGCTGGCCACTCTACATGCGAGAGGATGCAATGGCACCGTTGCGAGGTGATCAGCGTGTCGGTCACTGATTATCAAGGCCGGCCTTCTCAGGGAAAGCGCCGGTACAAAGCTGGGAGAAGAACACAGAAAAAAAAGAAGAAAAGGCAACAGCACTGCTCGGGCGAAGCACCCTCACTTGGCAAGGGCATCGAGCTGCGTGGTGTCAAAGTGCTCACTCCAGCCGCAGTCGAGCAGGATCCGGACGCCATCAAGCTACAAGACGTTGGCCCGTCGATGTGAGCGCATGCTCCAAGTGCTTTTCACCTTGCATCCTCACACGCATGCCAACGTGACACAGGCAACACCCCCACTCACCTCAAGCAAGTAGCAGGGCGGTGACTCATCCAACACCCCGGATAACGCCTCGACGCGAACGATAAAGGCCATGGCTGCCCTTTCAGCCAGCCCCCTTTGAAAAGCAACAGAAAAAAATTTTAAATGGTTCCTTTGGTTGTGTGTGTGTGTGTCTCTCTCTCTCTCTCTCTCTCTCTCTCTCTCTCTCTCTCTCTCTCTCTCTCTCCTCTCTCTCTCTCTCTCTCTCTCTCTCTCTTTTTGTGTTTTTGATATGAGTGTGTGTGTGTCTGTGTCTGTGTCTGTGTGCCTCTGTGTTGTGTGTGTCTGTCTATATCTCTGTGTGTGTCTGTATCTCGGTGTCTCGGTGTCTCGGTGTCTCGGTGTCTCGGTGTCTCGGGGCCTCAGTGTCTGTCTGTCTGTCTGTCTTGTGTGACTTGGTATCTCAGTGACCGATGTCAGTATCCCATTTCTATCTCTATCTTTATCTCAATCTCGATCTCAAAATCTATATCTCGATCTCAATCGCTATCACGCTCTCCCCAAACCTCTTCATCCCTTTTGCGCTCGCGCTCTCCCCTCCTCTCTCAAGTTTGTTCTTTATCGGACTACTCTCAAGACTGCGCTCTCATCACTTTATGACATGACTTAAAAGAGCTCGAGGTCCGTTCAGCGACGCGCGGGCGCAGCAGCGGCACCACCATTCTTATCCTCGGGCATCTTAAAGGTGAGAAGCTGGAAGACTAGCATGGCCGGCACAATGTACATCCACTGCGAGCAGCACCCAAACGTTGTGAGCGGGGGACAGTCTACCTGGGCAGGATGCACACGTTGGTTGGTACACGTACGTATTTGCTGAAGAAGCCCTGTTGCTCTTCGGGGCGCTCCTCCTTGGTCAAGCGGCGGGTTTGCTCTCGAACAAAAGGCTCAGTATCCGGCCTAAAAGAGCCCATGGCCGCCACAGAGATGAGGGCAAGAGGGATGCGTTCACGCGATGCGTTCGCGCGATGCACAAGACAAACTTACACCGAGCCCGTGGTGGGTCGAGTCAGGAGCACCGACGTCTTGAACACTTGCTTCTACAAACAATGACAGTAGGCACACACGCGCGCACACACACACACACCCTCATCGTCAGAACATATCTTTGGACATGGCCAGCGTACCCAGTACGTTTAGATGTCACCCCGTGTGGGGCCTGAAACGAAACGAGCTGGTATTCATGGCCATTGGCACCTTTTTGCGCAGGGTATCCTGTCCCTCTTGACCGCCCCGGGCCGTCAGCGCAATGCTTTGGACAAAGCCTGGGCAAGGGAATGCATGAGCACATCAAAGCGATGGTGAGAACCAATCGTCATGCGCACGAAATGCAACGAATGCAGCGGGGCCTCACACACCTTCGCGGTTCACGTAGAGCCGGAGTGTGTCTTGAAAGCCCGACTGGTAAAGAGCAGCGGCGGGTACAAAGCCCTCTGCCATGGACTTGTGCTCCCCACGCTCAGAGGTCACGCGAACGCGATAGAGCCCATTGGCCTGCGCCAGGTCCTGAAATGCACACAAGGGACGTGGAGTTGAGTTATGACCTGTTGGACATGCAAACAGATGAATCAACGCCTTTTCGGCAAGTGCAAATGAAATGGTCAAGCATGAGCTTTGAAGACGAACATAAAGGCTTTGCGCGTCGCTCTCGCCCAGGTCCTGGTCCATGACGCCATGCATGCTCGTGCTTGACTTTGGCTTCACGGTGCCCCTGCCAAGTGCGAGAGCAAACAGCCGTAACCTCACAGTGAGCCGGTTGCAGAGAAGGCATGATTATCCATGCACCATGCATGAACATGGGCTTGGCTAGATCAGCGCGGCAACGACCAGTCCTTACCGCAGATGAAACCCTTGACCATAATCGTGCTCCACCGTATACGTCATCTACCAGCAGAGCGCAAAGCCCAGTGCCCAAAATGATCAGCCTCGGTGCAAACGCGACAACAATGCCAGTTGTGAAAAGAGACGGTTCGAGGCCTACCATTTCCGACTCCGCCACATCAGCACCCCAGCCCGGGGCCACCAGACCCAGAAGCAAACCCAGCACCACCACAGATGCTGCCATCATTGACGTCGCTGCCATCTCGATGTGTGTGTGTGTGTGTGTGAAAGTGTGTGTGTGTTTCTCTCTCTCTCTCTCTCTCTCTCTCTCTCTCTCTCTCTCTCTCTCTTCTCTCTCTCTCTCTCTCTCTCTCTCAACCAATTCCTCTCTCTCTCTGTGGTCGTTGTACTTTTCCTTTGTGTCTTTGCTCTTTCTCGCTCTTAAGTTCTCTCTCTCTCTCTCTCTCTCTCATGTTTCGCGTGTGAGACGGTGACTGCGGAAGTGTGCTTTTTGTTATACTTTCAACTGAACACACACACACACACACACACACACACACACACACACACACACACACACACACACTCTCGCTAAGGGCTCGCTCGGTTCAGATTTGCTTGGCAATTCAAGTTGAAGTGGTTCTTGTCAGGTGGGGGAGATTGAAGACTGCGCCGTGGGCGAGAAGAGCATGCATAACAGGCCAGAGCCGTTGGTTCCCGTAATGTGCTGGATCCACACCTCTGCCATCCGCCATTTGCTGCGGGTATTAGTCAAACATTGAGGTATCCTAATTTCCCGTCAATGAGATTCGACATGGCAGAGCATATTGCAGGGCTGTGAGTGTTGGACGGCCTTGTGAGCAAGGCCTGGAATTGGTCCGAGAGGGGAACGCACAGTTGTAAACTGGGGTGTGGATGCCGTGGTCGATAGATCAGACAGTCCATCCTGGGCCTGCTGGGCCTCCACGGCAGCCTGGGCCTGGGAAAGGTTGAGCCAAGACATTGATGAGAGCCCTGTGCCACCTGCATCGTAAAAGGCCGCGCTCAAATCCAAAGAATGACGGTCGCACCTTGTCCAAAAGCTCTTGTTGAAGCTTAAGGAGTGCTTCTGTATCCTGTGCTCCGACATGAACAAAATGGCCCCGCGAGTTTGTCTGATGAGTGAAGCCAAGCGCCAAGTAAACACGCAGAAAGCCCACGGTCACCAGAGCAAGCATCCACGCACGGCTTCGTCGACACGATGGGCTTCGCGTTTGGCTTGACGCTTGGCCTTTTTTGCCTGAAGTAGAGAGGGGGTCGAGTCAGCTCTAACATAGAATGGCTGAGCTACCCCAGGGCAGCCGGCGCACCCAAACAGAATGCCGGGAGATGACGATGGATGGGTGGGAGACGTACGCTTTGCTCCGCATGCAATGATTTGCCGAGCGCCCCGGTAATCTTCAGGAATCGATGCATCTCGAGCTTCTAAAAAAAGGAGCACATGGATTTGTCAGGCGAGTCGAGGATAATTGAGAACGGGGTGTGACTGACTGCTCCGCACAGCACGACGCTCGACCGGTACCTCGAGCGCCGTTAGAATGTCGGCTTCGGTGATGGTGTTCTTCCCCCGTTCGGTGCTGGCTTGCACCGCCTCGGACGTGATGAGCCGCACAAACTCTACGCTCACGACCAGTGGGGATGAGTTCCTGTGTTTCGTTCCACTTTCTAGAATGGTCGGAGGAGCGAGCCCGTGAAAGGACGAGACTGACCATTGAGCGATTCCAGCACAAGATCCTTGGTATCGGACGCCACCTTGACACCAGCTGGCGTCAGATCTTGCAGCAGATGCACCACTGTGGCTGTCCGGCAAGCAAGTCAAGTGAACACAGCCATCTATCTATCAATCCTTCCACCTCCCGATCCCGAGCAAGAAATGGAGAGGCTTACTCTTGGGTAACGAAGCCTCCGACGACATGTTGCAGATCAAAGATCCACACAAGCCAATACCTTGGCGCGTCCAGCACCCGGCATCAACCCCGACACCGCCAACCACGACCAACACCACCTCAACCAGCCATCCGCGCCTCGGCTACTTTGAAATTACCTCTGTAACTTTTATCAGTTCGTCTCCTCTCTCTCTCAAGCTCTCTCTCTCTCTCGCTCTCTTAAGTTCTCTCTAAAGCTCTCAAACTCTCTCTCTTAAGCTCTCAAGCTCTCTCAAGCTCTCTCTCAAGCTCTCTCTCTTCTCTCTCTCTCTCTCAAAAGCTCTCAAAAGCTCTCTCTCTCAAAAGCTCTCTCTCTCAAAAGCTCTCTCTCTCTCTCTCTCTCAAAAGCGCTCTCTCTCTCTTAAGTTCTCTCAAGCTCTCTCTCAAGCTCTCTCTCAAGCTCTCTCAAGCTCTCTCTCTCTCAAAAGCTCTCTCTCTCTCTCAAAAGCTCTCTCTCTTCTCTCTCTCTCTCTCTCAAAAGCTCTCTCTCTCTCTCAAAAGCTCTCTCTCTCTCTTAAGTTCTCTCAAGCTCTCTCCCAAGCTAAACTCTTTTGATATCACACACACACCCAGACACACACACACACACACATAGAGACGGAGTGCGGGCGGGCGGATCAAACTGCCGTGTCGGCGTGTGTCTCGTGTGGTTTGCCCGGGTGCTTGGAGCTTGCTATGAGACTTGGAGAGCCGTTTGGAGTGTGCTTTCCAGACAAGAGGTGTTTGTTTTTTTCCATCAGGCTGAGAGCGGCGTGATGGACTCGGCCAAGTATATTAAGCGGTCGCGAGTGGCAGGGGTGGTGGTCAGTTCCGATGGGGTCCATGTGCCGACCCGCGGCGCCGATGATTTCAAAGAGGGTGACCTTGCCCTGACCGCGCACAACCTGATCTATGTGGCTGGCACTACTTTTGTCGAGGTACGCGTTGCTTTTTGACCCCTTGGCTGCAGAAGGAGCTCGCACATGCGTCCCATACACATGGGCACCACCAGCACCCCGGTACAGCTTACACTGGCGCCCGCCGCTCATGGCCATAGCTCTTTCATACGCAAATCCTGCACACCGCCCACCGATCAACCG